CAATTTCAACTTAGTTGATATAACATCTTGTTACCCCCACTGACGCAGCACCACAGTTTCTTTAGAAACTTTCGGCCTTTATTATTGAGGAAGGGTTTATCTTCCAATTCCCAGTTTTTCTATTCCGCATAACACCGCATTCGTTGGCCGCACATCACCTGTGCTGGATTTGGCGACGTGTCATGGGCGTAATCTTTGACTGAGGACTTTGCAATTTTTTTTAACTAGGGATATCAACAGATCATAAAAGAATTGGAGGATACTCAAAATCAGTGGCTTATTTTGAAACAATACTACCTTGAAGTGAAGGAAATTCTGCACCAAACTAACTTTCTTGAACTGAAAGACAAAGAAGACTTTGAGGCTGGTGTTAAAACATGTCTTGCAGACCTTGAAAGGGAAAAATGCACCGTTCTCATTGCTGGTGAGTCTGAATATTAATAACGCACAACACTCGAATGTTTCCAAACTGATAACTTGTAAAGTGAAAGGCGGTCATTATTTGAAAAAAAAAAGGATGTGGTTGGACAATGCAACTCAAAAGTAAAACTCTCATATGCACACCATTTCAGCATAAGTTACTTTTTATCTTTTAAACAGGCGAGACCAGTGCTGGTAAAAGCAGTCTGATCAATTTATTGCTAAATGAGCGAGTTCTACCTTCCTCTGTCCGGCAAAACACTCTGACAATCTGTGAAATATCCTACGGTCCAGAAAAGGAAGCTGTGTTGCACTTTCATGATCAAAGCAAACCTGCAAGTATCCTCAAGGGAGAAGAATTTGAGAAACAAATGAAAACGTATATTCAAAAATCAACAGAAGATAAAGACTGGTGTGAGAAAATAGAGATAAGGCTTCCCAACACATTGTTGAAGGTAAGAATGTTATTTTCCCGGATATCAATCCTAGGTATTCTTCTTTGTATGAGCAGGAAGATAGTAGTGACCGTGATTTTAATTTAAATGTTTCTAGTTTACTTAATTTGATCATAGGCTGTGACAAAGCTCTAGTTGAATTTCTTCATTAGTGTGGACGTCGTCACCAATGATTTCACAGAATTTTGCTGTTAGGCCATCTTACCCAGGGGATTTACCATTTAAGCCTTTATAAGAATTTTTTTTATCAACTTTATCCCGTTGTCTTCTATCAAAGAGCGAATTCTTTTATATTACGGAAGCTTTGATCCTTTCCAAAATAATTTGGGGACTTGATAATATCAAGCCTCACAAACTTGCTCAGAATTGCATCTGGCGTGTGGTTTACCCCTGGCGGGCTGCCACAACTGAAAAGCTTTGAATATTTCGTTTCATTAAAAAGCGGAGTGTTGTTGCCATATGCAGCTGATAACCAGAAGATAACTTTGTGTCATTTTGCTTTGAGGGGCAGCCAAATGATCCTCCCTGTAGGTTGATCTACCCAACAGGTTGAAAACCAAAAGTAGGACCTCGGCGAAACCGTTTCCTTGGACGAAAGTCCCTATCTTGTTGTTTTGGGGGATTTGTAGAGTTTGTTGTTGTTGTTTTTTGTTTTTGTGTTAATATTGTTGTATTTCTTCTTTTTGACTTTTATAAACTATTTCTATTTTCTAGGGTGGTATAGTGATTGTTGATAGCCCAGGAATTGGCGATACAGAGAATATCGCAAGCATTGTTATGAAGTACCTTCCTCAAGCTAATGCGTTCATTTACGTAATAAACAGTTCAAATGCAGGAGGATTGCATGAAGACAGGGTGAGTACAGCTTAAGGATTATTCAAACAAGCTTCACCTTTTATTAAGCCCAAGTTTTTTATGGTGGCTTTTGATGGTGAGTGGACTGGGATGATTAAGTAAAAAGACGTCACGTAGAATGCCTACTATTCTGGAGACCTTTACCTGCAGTAGCAGAAAAACCACTAAACGCATTCTGGAGAGCTTTGATTGAGAATATTGCTTTAGCCCATTAACTTGTCAAGGCGGAGCTAAGAAACAATAGCTTAGTAAGTTATTGTTTATGGTATTGTTAGAAGAAAGTCATGTATAGCTTGCGTGTGTTTCAAGCTGGAATAGCGATCGAAATTAAAACCGTCCGTTACATATTAATTTCTTTTTACGTCTCACTCAACAAACACCTTGGTTCTATGATTACCCGTTTAGCATTCGATTTCCATCGCTTAAAAGCCACCCAGACAATTTTTCTATATTAGAAAGGACGAAATGAGGTCTTCAAGTCACTCTGACACTTGTTTCTTCGAAACTAAATAAAATTCACACACTTTGCTAAAAGTGAACTTACGAAGCTACCGCCTAAATAATGGTTTTATTCATCGCTTGTAGTAGAGGCCGAGGCCTCCCGAGATTAAGCGTTTATTACCCTGTCGATTTTTTCCTTAGTGGGATTCTTATTTGCGGAACTTATGAAAGCAAACTTGTGTGAGACTAACCACTAACGAGAAATTTATAGAAAATAATTTGGTTTCCGGAAGTGAGGGGTTCCGGTTTACTGAGGTGAAAAATAGAGAAAATGTATGACCGAGATTTTTGTGGCCGGAAAAAAGGTCTGGTAAAGTGAGGATTCCGGTTTAATGAGGGCCAGGTTTAGAGGGGTTCCACTGTATTTATACAAACAATCCGCGGTCTAGTAAACTTCTTTGCATGGAATAACCTTACCCCAGAACTCAGTTTGACATAAAACCTATTTATGGCATAACTTAGACACAACACGTGCGCTCTGAATGCCACGGAGAATCTATTGTATATTTACCTGTATACTCATAGAAAACTGAAACATCTTACCGTGCTTTAACATGGCGCCATGGGAAGAATTCCCATATTTTTAATTGGTAAAGGCCTTTGGTTTGGAGGAAAAGAAGAGGACACTTTGAACGCCACAGATTGTATCTTTCTAACACTACCAAGTTCAGTTTTACTAACTGGTTACTCCCTTTTTGGCTTTTCTTTTTCGCTGTCCGGTTAAAGTGAAAGACCTTCAGAGATTCTCGACTTGAATCCCACAAACTGCCCGCTGATAAAGAAAAGTTCCCATGTTTGCTTTAAGACTGAAATTGTAGGGTCAAACTGATTTTTCATTTAGATATCTTAAATGTTTCTGTTCATTTAAGTTTCAAGCATTTATCGAAAAGAAAAAAATACCAAACGTTTTCTACAAAGAATTTCATTCAGTCTTGTTTCCTTCTCTAATTTTTAGCTGCTTCGAATCTTGAGTGAATGGAAGAAGCTCTACGATGGAAGAGAAGAGTCAGGCTTCACTTACGAATCAGCTCTTTTCATTTGCAACAAATGGGACTTAGTGGAAGAAGAAGATGAGGAAAACGAAGGAAAGGAGCTCGAAAAAGAAATCATCGGCAAATTAAGGGAGAGAATTCCCCTGCTCGATGAAGAATGTCAAGTAGTCAAAATGTCTGTGAAGAAAGCAGCAAAGGAGCTTCTGAATTCAGGCGAGATGAATGATGATCTCTACTCGCTGATTTGTGGAATAAAGGACCTTCTACCCCGTTTTGCAAAGATGAAGGCAGCCTTACTCTATTTGTAAGTTAAAATGGTTTCTTTTTTGACAACTCCTATCTATGGG